TTCTCTTTCCCAGGTAATACGAGGCAATAGTATCATCATGTTAGAAGCCTTGGAACGAGTATAGAGAATGGCCGTGTCCACCAGAGAAACCATCTACTTCCACGTCCCCTCTCCACATCTCCCGTTTTATTACAGTATAAAAATTGAGTCTTGTACATTTTCACATTGAACTTTTGTTAAATAAATTTTTGAATTAGTCAAAAAATGCTTTCTCACATGTGTTAAACTTAAAAAATAGGGTATTAGCTCTCATTTTTTTCTTACATGAGCTATTCCTGGTTAGGATTAATTTTTTTAAGGTTTTTATGCATTAATATAGAAAAATCTATTAATTGTAGGACACTTGAACAGAGATGAAGAGTCTGCAAACCTGAGCAGGTTTCTTTTGTAATATTAACTCTGATTTTCAAAACTCTCCTAGTAATTGTGATGTCTGGCTTTCCCAGGTACATCTGCATTCCAAGTAGAGTACAACAGGAAACAGGAAGCAATGATGTTGCTGTTTATTTTGAACATAAGTGGGAAAAAATTTTGAACACAAGAGTAGAAATAGAATCCAGAGAAAAATATTCCAGTGTATTATTCCTTTGAGGTGGAGAGTAGTAATAATGCTGCCCCTAATACTTAAACTAGTTCATAAATTTTAGGATACAAAAACTGATAAAATATACTTTACACATGGCTATCATAAACCTAACCTTAAGAAACCTACCAAACAAATGCTAGGCCTGCAGTTTTTGTGATCTAGTAGAAAGCCTACAAAGTGATTTGAGCCACTTTAAAACTAGAGAATGGGGTACAAATGAGTGTGTAAGGCACTTATGAAACAACACGGGGTGGCTTGTATGTACCTAAAATGTGTACAGCAAAAAATGGATCAAACCAACTTATAAGAGTCTGTGTGAAATGCAGTACATTTTTATTATCCCAACTTTCATTTCTCCCATTTTTATTCCAATACATTTTAAATCTGCAGTGAACTTGATAGGCTTGATTTTTTGCAACCACATAGAGCTGCATTGTAGAAACAGTCTCCAGTGTGGTTCCTAGACCAGCAATATCACGTAGGGCCTTAATAGAAATGCAGACTTTGATACACCATTCCAAACATTGAGAAGTTCTGGGGGTGAGGCCCAGCAATGTTTTAGGCCCTCCAGGTGAGTCCAAAGCATACACAAGTTAGAACTGCGGCCTTGCATTCTGCCCCTGCATCGTTTTTGCCACTCTTGTGTAAAAAAAGATGAACAAGCAAGCTCAGATGGTATTTTTTTCAACCAATTTTTTAAAGAACTTTAGTACTATAATTGCATTAAAACTAACATGCTTGATATACTGATGAACTGTTTTGCTCTTTGAGGAAGCAATTTCAGATGCCCTGTTGGAAAACAAGAGTAGGTTTGATATCATGGCAACACTTTAAATTGGTGTTCTTACAAGTATAGATATATCCCATTGCAAACTAAGTCTACAGGTGATAGGAATTAAACTATTTCATTAGCATTTACCAGTCTGGCTGGCATACACATTCTCTACATGTTGTCTTCAATAAAACCACAAAAGGAAAACATTCTTTTTAAAAATAAAATTAGAAAACTGACCATTTGACAAACTAAATATCTTTAACAATACATGTTAACTTGGTTGCAGTTAGTTGAATTCAGAAGCTCTTGTTCTGTCCCTACGAGTATGAGGACGTTCATGATTTTTGTACAGTAGATGTAGAACTGGTTTTCAAGTTTGGTGGCATATTAGAATCATTTGGGTAGCTTTAAAGGCCTTCAGGTGATTTCAAAGTCCAGCCAATGTTGACAACTACCATCTTAAGATTTCAGCAGTTTCTCACTCAAAATGATGCAGTAGCTTAAGTATTTAACAGTTTGTGTGTATACTGGTTTTGATCAAGTATCGTGTCATTCTGAGTATCTTTTTTTTAATATATTTTATTGATTATGCTATTACAGTTGTCCCATTTCCCCCCTTCTCTCCCCTCCACCCTGTACCCTCTCCCACCCACGTTCCCCCCCATTTAGTTCATGTCCATGTGTCATGAGTTCTTTAGCTTCTACATTTCCCGTACTATTCTTGCCCTCCCCCTCTATTTTCAACCTACATTCTATGCTACTTATTCTCTATACCTTTTCCCCCTCTCTCCTCCTCCCACCCCCCTGCTGCTAGCCCTCCATGTGCCCTCCATTTCTGTGGTTCTGTTCCTGTTCTAGTTGTTTACTTAGTTTCGTTTTGCTTTAGGTGTGGTTGTTAATAATTGTGAGTTTGCTGTCCTTTTACTATACATGTCTTTTCTTTATCTTCTTTTCTTAGATAAGTCCCTTTAGCATTTCATAAAATAAGGGCTTGGTGATGATGAACTCCTTGAACTTGACCTTATCTAAAAAGCACTTTATCTGCCCTTCCATTCTAAATGAGAGCTTTGCTGGATAGAGCAATCTGGGGCGTAGGTCCTTGTCTTTCATGACTTGGAATATTTCTTTCCAGCCCCTTCTTGCCTGTAAGGTCTCTGGAGAAATCAGCTGACAGTCTGATGGGAACTCCTTTGTAGGTTACTGTCCCCTTATCTTTTGCTGCTTCTAGGATTCTCTCCTTCATTTTTACTTTGGCTAATGTAATTATGATGTGCCTTGGTGTGTTTCTTCTTGGGTCCAACTTCTTTGGGGCTCTCTGAGCTTCTTGGATTTCTTGGAAGACTGTTCCCTTTGCCAGATTGGGGAAGTTCTCCTTTATTATTTGTTCAAATACGTGCTCAATCTGTTGCTTTCCCCCTCCCCATTCTGGTACCCCTATAATTCGGATGTTGGAACGTTTAAAGGTGTCCTGGATGCTCTTAAGCTTTTCCTCGATTTTTTGAATTCTTATTTCATCATGCTTTCCTGCTTGATGAAATAAGATTTCCTATCTTCCTTCTGGTCCACTGTATTGTTTTGAGACTCAGATTCCTTCCTTTCACTATTGGCTCTCCTCCGCGTATCTTCCTGCATCTCTTTTATGGTAACCTGCATCCTTTCATCTAAACTGCGCCCAAAATCAACCAGTTCCGTGAGCTTTCTGATCACCAGTGTTTTGAACTGTGCATCTGATAGATTGGCTTTCTTGGTCGCTCAAAAGGATGCGTCCTGGGGGACTGATCTGTTCTGTTGGAAACATGTCTTATGTCTTTCCCTGTCTCTCCTTTTTTTTTTCCGGTCTGGTCGCTCTTGTTACGGTGGGGGCAGAGCCTTAGGTGTTCACGGGGGCTGGGCACCCCAGTCGCTAAATTGTGACGTTATACGTGGGGGCAGGGGGCGGGGGGGGCGGGGGGGCGGGGGGCGGGGGGCGGGGGGCGGGAGGGAACAATGGCGGTAGTTCCGTTCTCCTGGGCTCAGACTCTCTGGGATCCTGGGCTGCGAGCTTTGCCCTGGTCCGCAATCGCCACCTCACTGGGTCCCCCAGCTGCAGCTTGCGTACTTAGGGATCACCGCTGCATTCTTGCACCCCGGATGGCTGTCGCGCCAATTTCGGGCCAAATTTTCCCCGACCTCCGCATGCTGCCGACCTGCACCAGCCCCGCGCCCGCCCGGCTCGTCGTCTCCTACCAGTCTGGATGTACGGGTCTACTTCAACTTCTTGGCTGTCCGACTTCCTTTCAGATAAATCCTCTTTCAGTTCTGAGTGTTATTCTGAGTGTCTGTAAATTATTGTTCTCATCTTGGTTGTGCGAGGAGGTACGGTGCGTCCTCCTATTCCTCCATCTTGCCGGAAGATCATTCTGAGTATCTTATGTCAACTACTCTGGAATGATCCAGGTTGCCTCCGCTGTTACACTATCAGTGCTTCTTACTATTAAGGTTACTACTAGAGTTCTCATTGAGAGAAGTGATTCTTCACAAAATGAATCTTTGATAATGGGTTGGATTTCTTGGGGCTTTCAAGGCACTAAAAACCCTTTGGAGACATTTTAGACATCCAAATCTGATTCTCAATGTAGGTTACTCATTAGGAATTTTAAACAGCTATGATGTAAGGTCCTATCCTCAATCCATTAAATCAGAATCTGGGATGGAGAGCTGGGGGGAGTCCATCCGTATTTGTAAAAACGTCATAGGTGAAGATTTGATAACAGAGTGCCAATTTCTTCCATCAATAGCCTATATTTGATTTCATTTTAGTGGAGATTATTGTATGACATCTTAAGGCTATACTACTAAAACTTAGGAATTTCACCCCTAAAGAAAAGACAAGCAATCAAAAGAACATTCTGAAAGTCAAAGCTTCAGTCATGGGCACATTTACTTTGAAAGTGAGATACCAGCTCCCATAGTAGATTTTACTATGTGACTAAAGATCACATCCAGCTGTCAAGCACAGATGAGCTTATCCCGGACTAAAAGGTATGTCTTTTAAGTTCAAGTGTTCAGTTTAAAATGCTGTAAAGTTTTGTTCAAAATCCAGGGCCTAACCTCTAGACCTACTGAATCATAATCTCCAGTGGAGGTAGGGAATTCTGTATGTTTTACAAATTCCAGATGATTCTTACAATCAGACAAGTTTGGAAAATACTGTTGATATTAAGAGTAAAATTTTGGAGCAGGCTCTCTCTGGAGCACACCAATGCCTTTCTTCCCTCTCAGGCATGCATCTTTACTTTTCTCTCCTAAAGCCTAAAGGTCCCCAGGAGACTTGCAGCCAAAGGAAAGGTGGGCAGCAGCAGCTCATCCCAGGATAACCCACTGAACCCACTTCCAGTGACCCTTGTCTCTGACTTTTTGGTGAGCTAAGAGCTGCCCCACCTTGGCTCACTTGTCATTGTCACTTCTCAGTGAACTAACAGCAGCCCCACTGGGGCTCACTTCTTTCCTATTAACTTTCCCAGGGAGCCAAAACAGAGCACCTCCTCTGTTGTACTTCTACCCTAAGCCTTTTGTTTCACTGTCCCCAGCTTTAATAAATGTACACTCAAAGTAAAAAAAAAAAAAAATTGGACATGGCATAAATGCAATAGTTACACCTTCACACTTAATTAGACCTTGTATTTTCTCATAACTCACTGGGGTTATTCTCATTAAACAATGATAATGGCAAAATATTTGATTCAAAGTGTCTCTGCTCAGATTGTGTTCTTTTTTGCCAGTGATATCCCATTTGAAACTAGGAGGGAGGTTTGGGGGAAAGTGTTATCTCATAGTTCAGTTTTCAGTTTCTCATATAAGTCCTCTTGGTCAATCATGTGTGCGTGCCCGTTCCAGCGGTGATAGGCAAGGAGAGCAGCATTGTGGGCTGCAATGGCACTCATTTCCATGGCACTTGCTGCACGCTCTATGCCATTCAGGTAGTAAAGTCGATCATGGAGTATGATGGGGGGGCTTTTCTCTGGAGGCTTATAGTGGGGATATGCAAGCCATTGCTGCTTTACAGCATACTCATGGGACAAAAAGAGCTTTAAAATTTGCTCTTTGGTAAGAGTCTTCTGGGAAAAGGTCTTCCAAACATATGTTCCATCTGTTGATGGTTGAGGATCATTATTATCTTTTACAGAGGACACAATTCCAATGCTGTTAATAAACAAATCTGAATTACCAGTGATTAAGACAGTATGGAGGTCAAATTTATCTAAGGCTCTAGAGCTAAAAGCAGTTGAATTCAACTTTCCCTTAATTAAAGTTGTCACTATATGTTCATAATATTGATGGAATTCCTCAATTGGAGGATCAAAGTTGAGAAAAGTTATATTGGACATTTTTTGATTCAATGGCGTGGCCACCATGATGATATCATAGAAGTCTGAATGGGTCCCAGATCCACTTCGGTAGACAATTTCATACATCTTTGTGGGGTTTCCTAGAGGAAATAAGGAAGCATACACTTCTTTAGTGTTTCTAACATACTATATTTTATACCTAAAAATAATTCTATACTTTTTAATAGCTTATAATCCTAAGGAAGTAAAGACTTTAAGCCCTGGCTGGATAGCTCAGTTGGTCAGAGCATCAGCCTGATACACCAAGTTAGCGAGTTTGATCCCCAGTCAGCACATACTAGAAGCAAACAATAAATATAGAAATAAGTGGAACAATCGATGTTTCTCTCTCAAAAAAAATGAAACATAATTTACCTTTTAAGATAACCATCCCAAATTGAGGCCAATTTTCTACTTAAAATAATACCTTGTTAATAAATACAAAATGAGGAACTTTTACTTTTGAGAATGAAATTTTTTAAATCCAAGGAGTCATGCCACTGTACTTGAGTACATTTTGGAATATTTCTACATGGCACAAAACATACAATTTAAAATTCCATCATCTGGAGTGAGAAATGGAAGAAGAGAGGTTTTTCCCCCTGAGCAATTATTTTCTACAGGGGAAATCAGGAACAATGAAATAGAAATTCAAGCTCACCAGTCTGCTTGGTCCTTGTTTTCTCCTCAATGGACATTACTGAGCCAGATATTAGGTTGCTTTTGGAAGCCTGAAGGAGCCCTGAGCAAACAAGTTTATTGCCACCTTCTACTGCCCAAAGGCCAGAATCAGTACAAGCTAGTGACACTGCCCCTGTCAGCAGCAGGAAAAAAAAAAGTGTTTTAATTCTAACTCTGTAAGAGACCCTCCAACCACTCTCCCTCCCCAACTGGGTGAGTTCTGCTCCAAATGTCTCCACACACAGTTGAGAACCACTCGACCAATGAAAGCTAAGGACTCTCCCCATAAAAATGCACATTTACATTTACACAATTTTGCCAAAAATGTCAGGTTTCACAGAGAAAGGCAGTCTTCTCCAACCCAAAGCTTAGGTCAGGAGTCACCATAACATCAGGTAAGCCCCTCTGTGAACCAATTCTAAAACTGTTCCAAGCCTTGGCTTACCTACAAAGCCATTGAGGTTTGTGCTTTGGCCATAATTGACCCTATTGATGGGAGCAACCATTTCATCGAGAAATTTCTCAGAGAAGCCTGCTTTCTGCAAGGTTTCAAGTAGTGTTTGATTAAATATTCCAAGGAAGTCGTCCCCTCCTAGAGAGTGTAGTAAGTTTTCTACACTACTGAAGGCATAGTCATGAGACTGGTAGCGGTAGATCCTTTTGAGAAAAAGAAATGGCCATTATAAACCAAACAAGATACAGATAAGGGGATGCATAAAGAAGGGAAATAGCATCGTATGACTCAAACTGACTTTCATGTTTCTTTCTGATGAGTTCCTACTTATCATGTGAGACACCTCAGCCACCATTTTCCCCAGGTACCCCAAAAGTACCTGGCCCTCACTCTTTTGGCCCTCACTCTCCCTCCGCAGATAAACTTCCACTGGCAGTTTACTGTCCTTTGTATACACTCTTCTGTATTAATATGGTCATAAGGAAACCTTTAAAGATTTGGGTACATCTTGTTCACATTTATCTTTTCATCTACCAGTAACACGGACATGTCTGAAATTATAACTTTTTTTAAAAGATTTTTTTTTTTAAGAGAAGGGAAGGGACAGAAAAAGAGAAGGAGAGAAACATCAATGTGTGAGACAAACATCAATCACTTGTCTCTTAGAGGCACCCCGATCAGAGACCAAACCTGCAATCCAGGTATGTGCCCTGACCAGGAATTACCAGCAACTTTTTGGTTCACTGGCCAGCACTCAACCCACTGAGCCATACCAGCCAAGACTAAAACTATAACTTTATCTTTTAATCAGGCTTGACCCTCTTCACCCACTCTCTATCCCAAACAAAAATAACAAGTCACACCTAAAATCCCATACATCATCCTCAGTTCACTCGGTTTCAAACAAATATTTTCACTTCTTTCTGCTTCTCCCACCCAAGAAGGAAACCTTAGCAATCTTTCTATAGTGTCTCTAGTGACTTCACTCTTATTTTCCTGATCTTAAGTCAGGATTTATAGTTGAACTACTAAAATGAGTAACTGATCTACCAGCTTCTAGTTCTTTTTAATCAATCTCTCAGAAACCCTATAATATTCTTTTACTGAAAAAAAAAAAACCACCTTGCTTACTGCCGCTTACTAAACAAAGTCCTGACATTTTTTCTGACATTTTTTTTTAAATCACACATTTTAGAGCTGGCCAGTGTGGCTCTGTTGGTTGGAGCACTGTCCCATACACCAAAAGGTTGCAGGTTCAATACCCTGAGAGGGCATATATAAGAATCAACCAACCCTGGCTGGCATAGCTCAGTGGATTGAGCGCGGGCTGCGAACCAAAGCATCGCAGGTTCGATTCCCAGTCAGGGCACATGCCTGGGTTGCAGGCCACGGCCCCCAGCAACCGCACATTGATGTTTCTCTCTCTTTCTCCGTCCCTTCCCTCTCTAAAAATAAATAAATAAAATCTTAAAAAAAAAATCAACCAACAACCAACCAATGAAGGCATAATATAAGTGGAAAAACAAAAGTCAATCTCTCTCTCTCCCCCCCTTTCCTCTCTCTCTTCAAATCAGTAAGTAAATTTGTAAAAATTTAAAAATTGTTACTATAGACAAAACAGGACATTTTATAATGATGAGGATTAGTCAATCAGGAAGACATACATTTGGGAATTGTTTTTTAAAATAAAAATAGTATAATCTAGCCCTGAACAGTGTGGCTCAGATGGTTGGGCATTGTCCAACAAATCGAAAGATCACTAGTTCAATTCCTGGTCAGGGTACATGCCTGGGTTGCAGGTTCAGTCCCCGGTCAGGGCATGTCCAAGAGGCAACCGATCAATGTTTCTCTCTCACATCAATGGTTCTATCCCTCTCTCCCTTTCTTCTCCTCTCTAAAAATATGCAAATAAAATCTTTTTTTAAAACAGTATAATCTATATGTCCCTTCACCAGGTCTTTTTGACAGTTCTGTAATACCCCAAATTCACTTCAAAAGTGATTTAATTTTTCAAAAGGCAATTCTCTACATGGCAAGCAAGCCACAGATAAGAAAATGAGACATGGCCCTGGACAGGTAGCAAAAGAAAATGACACATACAGATGGCACTGTGTCTGACACCACTGGAACTGGATTTTCCTGCTGAGTGTGCAGCAACATGCCACCTACCTTCCTTTAAAACTGATTGACCATTCTACACAAATTCTATATATTCTTTTCTTTTTTAATCCTCACCTAAGGATATGTTTATTGATTTTAGAGATAGAGGAAGGCAGGGAGAGGGAGAGAGACAGAAAGAGAGAGAAGAGAGAGACAGAAAGAGAGAAGAAGAGAGAGACAGAGAGAGGAGGAGAAACATCAATGGGTTGCTTCCTATTCTTACCTCAACCAGATATAAAACCCAGGGATCAAAGCCACAACCTAGGTATGTGCCCTGACCAGGAATCAAACCCACAACCTTGTGGTGCACAGGGTTAACACTTCCACCAACTGAGCTATCCAGCCAGGGTGCTTTTTGCCTTTAAATGTTAGAAGTTTTGCTCTGGGTAGCTCAGTTGGTTTAGAGGGCTATCAGGATACACCAATGTTGCTGTTTGATCCAGGTCAGAGTACATACAAGAAGCAACCAATGAAGCATAAATACATGGAACAACAAATCAATGTCTGTCTCTCTAATAAATAAGAAATTTTAAAAAGTATTAGAAATTTTATTGGCATTAACACTCCACAAGGTTATATTCATACAAATCAAATTGAAAAAAATTCCAGGCATACAGACTCCCATCTGTTAATGTGCCATCTTTCATCTCCAAATGTCAAAAATTGACTTCTTTTAATGATACAGAAAGTCTTTAGAAAGTCACTTTCACTGTCCATTTATTAGGTAAGAAACTGATTGTCTTCATTCATTTCATAAAATCCATGTTAAAAGAACCCTGTCTTGCCCTGACTGGTGTAGCTCAGTTGGTTGGGCCTCGACCGAAAGGTTCAGGGTTCGATTCCTGTTCAGGGAATATGCCCAAGCTCCAGAGTCAGTCCTGGTGAGGGCATGTAGGAGAGGCAACTGATGAATGTTTCTCCCCCTCTCTTTCTCCTTCCCTTCCCCTCTCTCAATATGTTATTGATTATACTATTACAGTTGTCCCAATTTTCCCCCTTTGCTCCCTCCACTCAGTACCTCCATAACCTCTAGTTACGCCCCCCCCCTTAGTTCATGCCCATGGGTCATTCATATAAGTTGTTTGGCTACTTCATTTCCTATACTGTTCTTAACATCCCTGTCTATTTTATACCTACTAATTTGTACTTCTTATTCCCTGCACCTTTTCCCCATTCTCCCCACCCCAACCAATAACCCTCCAAATGATCTCCACATCTACGATTCTGTTTCTGTTCTGTTTGTTTAGTTTTTTAGATTCAATTGTTGATAGTTGTGAATTTATTGCCATTTTAATGTTCATAGTTTTGATCTTCTTCTTTTTCCTAGATGTCCCTTTAACATTTCATAAAATAATGGCTTGGTGATGATGAACTCCTTTAGTTTTACCTTGTCTGGGAAGCACTTTATCTGCCCTTCAATTCTAAATAATAGCTTTGCTGGGTAGAATAATCTAGATTATAGGTCCTTGCTTTTCATCACTTTGAATATTTCTTGCCAGTCTCTTCTGGCCTGCAAACCTTCTTTTGAGAAATCAGCTGAGAGTCTTATGGGAACTCCTCAGTAGGTAACTAACTATCTGTGTTTCTCTTGGTGCTTTTAAGAATCTCACTTTATCTTTAAGCTTTGACATTTTAATCATGATGTGTCTTAAGTGGGCCTCTTTGCATCCACCTTGTTTGGGATTCTCTGTGCTTCCTGGACTTGCATGTCTATTTCCTTCATCAAATTAAGGATGTTTTCTTTCATTTATTTTTCAAATAAGTTTTCAATTTCTTGCTCTTCCTCTTCTCCTTCTGGCATCCCTACTATTCAAATGTTGGTAAATTTGAAGATGTCCCAGAGGCTCCTTATTCTGTCCTCATTTTTTAAAATTTTTTTCTTCTTGCTGTTCTGATTGAATGCTTTTTTCTTATGTTCCAAATCATTGATTTGAGTCTCAGTTTCATCTACTTTACTGTTGGTTCCCTGTAGATTTTTTTTTTAATTTCACTTAGTGTAACCTTCATTTCTGACTGGGGTTTTTTTTTATGCTGTTGAAGTACCCAATTAGTTCCTTGAGCATCCTGATAACCAATGTTTTGAACTCTGCATATGATAGGGTGCTTATCTCCATTTTGTTTAGTTCTTTTTCTGGAGTTTTGTTCTGTTCTTTCATTTGGGCCACATTTCTTTGTCTCTTCATTTTGGCAGCCTCCCTGTGTTTGTTTCTGGGAATTAGGTACAGCTGTTTTGACTCCTTGTCTTAGTAGCATGGCCTATTGTAGAAAAGCACACCGGTAAGTTGGGTGGAGTGGGGCCTTAGGTAATCAGAGCAGGGCAACCCGTGTTACTGCTCTGTTACTCTGAGTAGGGTAGGGCACAGAGAGGGGATAATGCCACTGCCTAACCTCTGGACTTTTGCCCAGGAGGAAGCTGTCTCCCAGCACTCACCCTGATGCCTGTCACTTCAATTTTTCACCATATGCCACTGGTGCCCTTCCAGCTGCTGCCCTGGTGCTGAATCCCTGAGGGACTGAAAGTCCTAAGGGCACCAATGGCATAAGGTGAGTTCTTTAAGAGGAGTCTCCTAAGAATCCTGCAGTTTCTTCTACCACCCCAACCCCCACTGGTTTTTATAGCCAGAAGTTATGGGGACTTATGTTCCTGGCACTGGAACCCTGGACTGGGTGATCTGGCCTGGGTCTGGGATCCCTCACTCCCAAGGCATCCTTCCTGATTTTTATCTACCACATGTGGATGTAGGACCACCCTTTCTGCATCTCCTTGCCCCTCCACCTCTCTGCAGCTCTCCGCACCTCTCTGCACATCTCTGCACATCTCTGCATCTTCACCCCTCCTATCCATCTGGATGAATGTGGCTTCTTTAAATCCTTGGTTGTCGGACTGCCATACAGCTCGATTTTGGGTAATGTTTATTTTGTAGTCGTAATTTTTCCTGTAGTTGTTCAAAGAGGCAAGGCATGTTTACCTATGCCTCCACTGTAACTAGACATCAAATAAATAAAATCTTAAAAAAAAAAAGAACCCTGTTTTGGTTGTACATTATCACAGCACTCTGGTATTAATCCATTTTCCTCTATTGCCAGTGGTGGACTGCCATCTTGATTTCTCAGAAGTAGGGTCCATGTGAGACTCTTCAAGCTGACTGGGTGTAAATGGTTCCACCAACATCCATTATCTTGCACAGGCCCTTTAGAAATTCAGTCTCAAGATTCACATTTTTGCTATATAAAATACAGATTCTCGTAAAGACTTTCTTTATCCTTAAATACAGAACTCCAAGGTCTCAGTCTTCAAAATGGCTTATCTCAAATAAAGGGCTGTATTTGTTCAGGACCAACATCAATCAAATTTAATTTTAAGCTTACAAGTTACCAGGTCCAAACGCAGCTGCCAGCACCTCAAGGTCACCCTGACATGATTCCACGCCACTTGCAGGTATGTGAGGGGTCAGGTCAAGCAGCAAGGATATACTTCAGGAGCTTCTACTGCAGAATCTCACCCCAGCAAGCCAGCTGATCTTACTTGGCTGTAGCGGCTTTGCCCCTGCGGGCTTAGGGGCCTGTGGGCCACCCAGGCACAGGTCCCACCAGCCAGTGGGCCTCGTCATGGCTGCAGAATGCCTGACAGCTTGGTTTGCTGCTGTGTCTCTGGCCATCTTGTCCCATGCATGTGCGCCTAAGTGATGTCTCTCTCCTCCTCCTCTTCCCCCTGCCCCACACAGTGGCACTCCTGTCTTCCACCCTCCCACATCCCATCTGCAGCCACAGGTCCCTGTGCCTCTATATATTTTCTTAGTTGTTGGTTTATTATTCTAGGTTATACATCCTCAGGACCTAGAATAGTGCCTAGCACATAACGGGCACATATGACATGTAATTTTACCTTTATGTTGAAACAATCATAGTAATTAAATAATAGCATTTACAAGTTAAGTTATCTGCAGCATCTAAAATAATAAACTAGTCCTGGCCAGGTAGCTCAGTTGGTTAGAGCATCATCCCCATATGCCAAGGTTGCAGTTCCATCCCTAGTCAAAGCACATACAAGAAGCAACCAATGAATGCATAAATAAGTGTAACAAATCGATGTCTGTCTGTCTGTCTCTCTCCCTCTTGCCCTCTCCCTCTAAAATCAGTAAATAAAAATTAAAAATAAATAAAATACAGGTGTAGCTCAGTGGATGAGGTGCCAGCCTGTGAGCTGAAAGGTCACCAGTTCAATTCCCAGTCAGGGCACATGCCTGGATTGCAGGCCAGGTCCCTCTTGGGGACGTGCAAGAGGCAACCAACTGATGTTTCTCTCCCTCTCTTTCTCCTCCCTTCCCCTCTCTAAAAATAAATAAATAAAATCTTGAAAAAAATTCTTAGGGCATAGAACTAATATTGTACCTCAGGTTACTGGCTCACTAAAACATGCCACGATTAAAGCTCATTTTTCTTATCCTGTCTGCAAGCTCTTGTGCACATGACCTCACTCCTCTGATACACAATACCAGCACAGTGCAGAGATTAACAGTGAGGACTCTAGATTCAATCTGCCTGGGTAGGAACGCTGGCTCTACCACTTAATAGGTGGCATACTTGCACACTTGAAACTTCTCCATACCTCCACCTTACACATCTGTAAAAAGAAGCTAATAAATAGTACCTACCTAGAGAGCTGTCATGAGAATTCAAGAAGTTAATATTTGTAGGTCATTTAAGAGTGTCTAGCAACACTAAACAAGCATTTGCAAAATACATATTCAGAAGTAAAATATAAACTACTCTTCCAATTTCTAACAGGCTAAATGGTCTGCATATTTTATACAGGACATTTTGCCTAACAAATACACCTTGTAGTTAGGGAGAGAACTGTTCTAAGAAACTATAATTCTTAAAGATCATCTACCTAAAAAGGTCTTAGGTTAAATAGAAGGAGAGAAAATTACCTCATAAACTTGTCAAATATATCCTCTACCCACATATGCAATCGAAGGGGCTGAAATCCATACTGCCAAATTAGTTTAATAATGTTAATTATAAGCCAGCTGCTCTCCTCAAACACCAGAGTCTCTCCATTAGAGACCCCCACTAGGCCTCCAGAACTCTGAACAGTAGATAGACCTGCAAAAACAGAGAAAGGTAGCTAAGTCAGTGATTCCTGTGCTGATCAAATGAAAGAAAGTAATCTGAAGCTATCATAGACACTCTAAAGTAAGTGAACTCCAGGCTTCCCCCAGCTCTCAAGAGACATATTAAAGAAGTTTTATTTTTAGAATAGTGAAACAATACACTAGACACTTACTACACTGTCCAAAAGCAGATTCTCTAGAAGATGGGTCAGATGATCATGCATATATATCAAAATTAGACAGGCTATGTTTAGTCTGAAGTTACTAAAAAGTCAAATCAAAAGCAGAGTACCAACTGAATTCAACTTAAAAGGAGAAATGTGAGAGATGAACCTTTGCAGCATAAACTGCTCCTGGCATATATTTGCTCTCATGGAGAAAACAGAGGCTCAGGAAGCATCCACAGGAAATATGGAAGGCAGCTAAGGGAAAGGAGGCACCTACTCCTATGCAAATAGTGTTTTACATAACTGGATATTTCAGATAACTGGAAGGAGGCCTATATTACCCAATATTCTTTGAGAAAAGGGCCTGCACAGGCCTGCCAATTTCCCTCACAAGCTACCCAGCTCCTCTGCTGGTAGGGAAGTAGTCAGATGTCCCAGCTTCTAAACAAATGCTGTGCCCATAGTTGTGTAACTTTAAGCCAAATACTTCAAGCCTCTGGGCCTCATTCCCCCAACTAAAAAATGAGCACACTAGGTTTCTGCTAACTCAAACCATTCTTTGGTTCAACAGAAGCCCACAGGTTGAAAAACTGACAACAGCAACCATCCCCACCCCACCCCAACCCTATGGCTGTAATTCCAGATAACTGAAGATACTGATAACTAGTGTCCCATTACAGGAGAGTGCCTCCTAACTAAGGCAGTACCAACTTCTAAAAGGAAAGTAAGGAAACCAGTTTTACCAACTTGTCTTTAAAAGACAATTAACACAGTGGAAAAGTTTCAGTTCCCTATATGGTAAAAATATTTATGGATGGTCACACAGAAAGCTGCATAGCTCTAAGACCAAATTACATACCCAGGTCCTTGACAAAACGCTTCATATGCAGATTTAAAGGATGGATGACAGAACCTCCTGCTTCATATTCTTGCCCCTGTACAGTCAGGGTGGCCAGACGGCCCCCCACCTCTCCTCTTTCATAAACGTCAATCTTCACATCTTTCCCAAATTTCTGCCGCAGATAGTAGGCTGCCGAAGTGCCACCAATTCCAGCTCCAATTATCGCTATGGAGGGGGTAAGAAAAGAACAGCTTCTTTCCCTCTTACCAGCTTTGTTGGTTTTATTGTTTTTGAAAACCCATTAAGCAACTGCAGATGTTACTTAAGGCTTTTATCCACAATTCAGGGAAGCCTCCATGGGGTAGGCCAGTGACAGTAACTGTGAAGACAGAACTGTGAATCTGGACATAAACATTGCCCCCGGACAAAAGTGGCAGTAAATTAACTTACAAATTGACATTAATTAGTTGTTTTGGTTTTTGCCAGATGCCCAAAGATTCTCACAGTTCTTTGTTGAGGCATCAATGAGCCTGCACAACCTTCTTTGTGCCCAACTCCTGGGAACAGAGGAGGTGAGTCTTCCCAGCAGCATTTTAAATGAAGTGGCCGCCATTTTTGCCTAGATTTGTTGTTTCATTAATGTAGACAGGTTAATGATCCCAAAGAACAGTTTTAAAGGGAATAAGAAACAAAGCAAAACAAAAAGTAAGGAAATTTAAAAAGACTGAAACTAGAAGACAGTGGATTATTTCAGCTGTGTAGTAATCTTAGGCAGGCAATCTGCAAGCCAGGGGCCTCTGAGGGCAGGCCAACCGCAGCAAAGCGGAGAGGGGAAGGTGGGAAATAAATGGGGTCAGCTTGTTTTCAACTGCTCGAAGTGCTGAGCCCGCGTGCGTGCGTCTATCATCTGCAGGACGTAAGCGACCCGTCGCTTCAGGACAACCCAGAAGACTGCCCTCCCAAAGATGCACCCAAGGAAGGCTGCGAGAGGGGGCTCGGTCTCCCCCTACCACCAGCCTTCCTAGACAGGGGCTGCAGGGACGCTTGGAAGCCGCCCTCTTGGGTCTCCCATCCGCGACCCATTCCTCAAGTGGGCACGTCTCCAAGCCCAGGAAGGCACGGTCTCTGGGGCACCGAAAGCCACACTGAGACACAAACCGGGAAGATCGAAACCTGCGCCAAGGGTTCGGCCGGCGCGGCCTGTCCCGCGTCGGGGCTGCAGGGCCTGGTGCCCAACGTAGCAGCCGCCAGGAGCACGGCGCGCTCCAGCACCTCCCTCCGCGCCTCTCCACTGTCACCTACCGATCTTATCCGGAGGGGCCCGCAGTTCAGGGCTCCCGGGGCACACCCAGCTGCCCAGCAGCAGCCACAGGACCAGAAGCGAAGAGACTCGCTCCCCGACTGCGCGGCTCATAGCTCCTAGAACGCAGCACTCGGGAGACTTGGAGTGCCTGACCGCTGAGCACGCCCGCTACTGCACGACTGCGTGCTTCGCCCGCCCCGCCCCGCCCCGCCCCGCCCCCTACCGGTCTAGCCCCGAGCCAGCCACGCCAACTCGCAGTGCCGCCCAGGTCCGCCCCTTGCCAACTCCCTAGGCACCCTAGGTCCCCTTAGGTCCACGCATCCCTCCAGAAGCGCAGAACTTGGACGCACTTGATTCGCCAGCCTTGCCTGCCCTCTCCAAACTTACTCTGCTTCGGGAAGACACCAAAAGCACCGAAGGAAGCTCATCCAGCTCTCTTCTTTGCCAACTGTTTGGATGAAACCCCTTATTTCTTCACTAGGATCTGTTGTGTCGCTTTAATCATACCCTCTCAAAGAATGCACCCAGCTAATCTCTAAAACAGTAGAGCTCCGCCAGTGGAGCTCCAAATACTTATTGAGTGATCACTATGTTCTGGGAATTGTTGGGTATGAGATGAATGGGTACATGACGCTATGTGAAAGGAAAAATGAGGGCGACCTAGAATGGGCTGGTCCAAGGTGAAGGAGTGGAAAAAGTAATGCACTCGTACATATGGTGGAACATTATGCAAGCATTAAAGAGAATGTAGGACCTGCAACTATTGTCCTAGTACTGTCAGGTGAGAAAATGGGTGGCTGAGGGATGGGTATTATATGATCCAGAATTAAAATACCCTACCCACCCATCCAAAAAGAAAATAAAAATTAGTATATGGCCCTGACCGGTGGGGCTCAGTTGGTTGGGCATTTTACCGCAAAGTGATAGGTTACGGGTTGGACTCCAGGTCAGGACACATTCCTGGGTTTGCAGGTTCCATCCCCACTCAGGGCCTGTGCAAGAGGCAACCCATTGATGTTTCTCTCCCTCTCTTTTTTTCCTCCTTTCCCCTCTCTCTAAAAATAAATAAATAACATATTTTTAAAACATCAGTATATGTCCTTGCTGGTGTGGCTCAGTGGATTGAGTTCCAGCCTGTGAAGCAAAAGATTGCCAGTTCGATTCCCAGTCAGGGGACATGCCTGGGTTGTGGTCCATGTCCCCAGTTGAGGGTGTGTGAGAGGCAACCAATAGATGTATCTCTTGCACATTGATGTTTCTCTCCCTCTTTCTTTCCCTTTGCCTCTCTCTAAAGATAAATAAAATCTTTTCTAAAAAATTAGTATATGAACATGAAGAACAGTATAGGTGGAAGGACAATAAGTTGGATAAAAGAAATGTTGAAACCTTTTTGCAACAGGTTTGCCACCAGAACCAGGTGTGGTGAAAACCACCACTAAATCAAAGCCAAAATGGGAAAGGAAAAGATTCATATCAACATTGTCACCACTGGGCACATAGATGCTGGCAAATCTACCACTACTGGCCATCTGATCTACAAATGGGGTAGGATTGACAAAAGAATCATCAAAAAAATTGAGGAGGCTGTCGAGATGGAGAAGGGCTCCTTCAAGTATGCTTGGGTCTTGGATAAACTGAAAGCTAAACATGAGCTCATTGGTATCACCATTGATATCTCTCTGTGGAAATTTGAGACCAGCGATTATTATGTGACCATCATTGATGCCCCAGGACACAGAGACTATCAAAAACATAATTACAAGCACATCTCAGGCTGACTGTGCTATCCTGATAGTGTTGCTGCTAGTGTTAGTACATTTGAAGCATAGATCTCCAAGAATGGGCAGACCCATTAGCATGCCCTTCTGGCTTCCACACTGGATGTGAAACATTAATTATTGGTGTTAACAAAATGGATCCCACTGAACTGCCCTACAAACAGAAGAGATACGAGGGAATTATTATAGAAGTCAGCACCCACATTAAGAAAATTGGCTACCAGCCTGACTACAGCAGCATCTGTGCCAATTTATGGTTTGAATGGTAACAACATGCTGGAGCCAACAGATGGAAAGTCGCCGATAAAGATGACAATGCCAGTGGACCCCCATCACTTGACACTCTGGATTGCATCATACCACCAGCTTGTCCAACTGACAAGCCCCTGTGTCTACCCCTCCAGGATGTCTACAAAATTAGTGGTATTAATACTGTCCCTGTGGGCTGAGGGGAGACTGGTGTTCTCAAGCCAGACATGGTGGTGAACTTTGCTGTAGTCAACGTTACAACTGAAATAAAGTCTACTGAAATGTACCACAAAGCTTAGAGTGAAGCTCTTCCTGGGGACAGTGCAGCTTCAGTGTCACGAGCATGTCTGACAAAGGTACTTGTCGTGGCAGTGTGGCTACTGACAGCAAAAATTATCCACCAATGGAAGCAGCAGTCTTCACAGCTCAGGTGATTTTCCTGATCCATCCAGGCTAAATCAGTGCTGGATGTGCACCTGTGCTGGATTGTCACACAGCTCATATTGCTTCTGAATTTGCTGAGCTGAAGGAGAAGGTTGATCATCATTCTGGGAAAAAGCTGGAAGATGACTCAAAGTTTTTGAAATCTGGTGATGCTGCCATCATTGATATGGTTCCTGGCAAGCCTGTGCGTGTTGCTGTTTTGCTGTTCATGATGTGAGACAGACAGTTACTGTGGGTTTCATCAAAGCAGTGGAAAAGAAGGCAGCTGGAGCTGGCAAAGTCACCAAGTCTGTCCAGAAAGCTCAAAAGGCTAAATGAATATTATCCCCAATACAGGCTGCCACAGTCTTAGTGGGTGAGAACCGTTCGTCAGAATTATTTGTCTCAATAGTAAAAGACTGGGTAATTATTACAGCGCATCATAAAAACTTCATAAGGAAAGGAGAATATTTTGTGGACCATTCATTTCTGTATGTGTGTGTGTGGCAGCTTTTAATTTATTAGTTTTTAAAATCAGTACTTTTTAATGGAAACAGCTTGACCAAAAATCTGTCACAGAATTTTGAGACCCATTAAAACAAAGTTTAATGTGTTTTTTTTTAATTTACTGATTTTAGAAAGAGAGAGGAAGGAAGAAAGAGAAACATCGATTTGACTTTCCACTTACTTATCCATTCATTTGTTGACTCTTGTATGTGCCCTGACCGGTGACTGAACCCACAACCTTGAACACTGTAACTTTCTTTTATACCATGTAGGTAAAAGTAACCCATTTCTGGTGTTATATCTGCTGATACTTTAGAACTGGATAATTTTGTTAACGTTTTTTCATGGGGGAGAATTTGGTGGATCTTTTTCACCTAAGGAGAGGAATCTGTTTACACAGTAAAAGCTATGAGAGGGGGTCTGTTGTGTAACACTGAATAGGTTAGGACAGAGAAGCAACTTTGTTTATGTGTAAGCTAGTTTATAAAGGCCAAATTCTGATAAAGTCCACATGTTACATATAAAATTTTGTAATTACATCAATACTGGGTAAATTTGTTGGTATGTCAAATTTTAGTTTTCCAGTTTTATTGGAATGTGAATTCATGTTTACAAACACTGAGGTGGTTTAAAGAACCTAAAATGAGGCTTAAATAGTGTTAAGCACCATATTGTTACAGTTAATTGTATCCAGATTCTAGGAAACATAAATTATACAAAACAAAAAGAAGAAAGCAGGTTAAACTTGGAGAAAGGAAGTAAAAAATTCAGTGCAAAAAGCATTCATTCATTAGACAAATATTAATTGAGTTCCTTCTAAGTGGCAGGCAATGTTCTATATGAATGAGAAAAATCAGTGAACAAAACAGATTTTAAAAAATATTTATTCTAATGAAGCTGACATTGTAGTAAAGGGACACATAATAATTAGAATAAATAAGTAAATTATGTAATATATAGAGCAGGGTATGAGGAATGGGCATGGATTGCAATTTTATTTTATTTCATTTTATTTTTATCCTCAGCAGAGGATTGCTTTTAGAGAGAGAAAAAAATGTAGAGAGGTAAGAAAAGAAACATCAATGGGAAGGAGTAGCATCAACTGCTTGCTTCCCATATATGCCCATAACCTAGGTATGTGTCCTGCCTGGGAATCAAACCTGCAATCTTTTGGTTACGGGACACTCTTCAACCAATTGAGCCACACCAGCCAGAGCTAGGTTGCAATTTTAAATATGATGGTTAGGGTAGGCCTCTTTGAATAGGATGGCATTTGAACAAAGCTTGGAGGAAGTGAGGGGAGTCAACCAGGCAAATATCTGGAGAAAGAGCTTTCCAGGCAAAAAGATGCTTTGTGTATTTAAGGAAAGGCAAGGAGGCCAGAGAACAGGGTAAAAAAGAGGGAGTGGGAGTGTTAATTGAATAAGATGCAAATGGTACAAGAAATAAACACTCCTACTTAAGAACATAAAAATATGAAGATTAAGGCTTTTTTTTATCCTCACCCAAAGACATTTTTTTCCATTGCTTTTAAAGGGAGAGGAAGGCAGAGAGGAGGAGAGAAACAGAGACACCCGAACTGGGGGTCATATGCCAAACAACTTAGGTATGTGCCCTGACTGGGAATTGAAACTGTAACCTTTCAGTTATGGGATGATGCTCCAACCAACTGAGCCATACTGGACAGGGATGACTAACCCCCCTTATCCATTACATCTAGAAATTACAAAGAAGGAACTAAACTATATGTGTCTTTTACTTTCCTATTTCCAAATTACATTATGCCCACAATAGCTCAGTGCATTAAGCTCCTAGGCCCTCAATAAATTTCTGTTGTTTTTTTAGAATTGATCATGTAAATCACTTTGCCACAAATGTCATATTTGGAAATTTTCATTTCTGCTACTAAAACCTTGGGAGAGAGTTTACTGAAAGGACACAGTAAAGGGACAGCGTAAAAGTTGCAAAGTGGAAGAAGTGGCAGGTGGATCAAAGACCGTCTTAATTCCACACTCTTGCCCTTTTAAAGTAATTACTGCCAAGAAACTCAAAAAGGTTTTTAAAAAATCATAGGGAAAAAAATATCACCTCATATTCTAAGGGTAATAGTGAGATAATGTAACAAACATTTATTCAAGAGTGTTGTTCAAAAGCAGTCTCCCTAGGAAGCAAAACACTAAGATTCTCTCCTTCACCAAACTCTAGCCAGGCTCTTCTGAGCCCTCTTCTTG